GTTCAGGACATTCTGCTGTTTGGCTCCAATTCCATTGTAGAGAATAGAGATGATTCATGCTTCATGCTTGCGAATTTCAAAGCTTAATTAAATTCCATTCGATCGATTCAGTGGGAAGGATATATTGGGTTTCAAATCATCTCTCTCTCTTTCTTCCTGTAGTATAGAAGGAGAAGTCATTCTCTATTACATGTCTACCATCATTGAAATCTTTACTTTAGAACCCATACAGGAATGGTATAGCAGGAACCTCTCACTCAGAAAAATATGCAGTAAATATTTCTCTCCTAGTCAAACATGGCCGCCTTTGAACTTTTGTCGATGGAAGTCTTTCCTTTTTCAGAAAAAATACCTCTTTTGCCACGTGGCAGGAGGAAATAGTTTGAAAATTTAAAATGGATTGCCATGTTAGCACCCACGTGTAAAAAACAGTATATTGTTAATTGTTCTGAAGAACATGACAGAAATTCTCAATCATTCCCCATTGTCAGAACTCAGAAGAGGAGGGTGTTACTTCATTAGTTGATAGCAATCATAGACAATCACTGTATTGATCAAAAGTATTTCCTTGCTTTGCGAATGCTTGTCTTGGGCGTTTTAGGACAAGGACCGAACATACGATGCGGACTATTAGGATTAGCCACGTCATCTCTCCACGTGGTTGATGGAGGGAAAGTCAGCCTGACAGCGGGCCTTATGGTCCCAGTGGAGTGTACGCAAACGAGTCGTAACGGCATCAAAAGCAGAATCTATGGCTCACATGCAGGGAAACTGGGGCCCGGACGAGCGAATCATCTTATCTTTGTTAGGGTGACTTCTTCCTCGTTGGGAGATGATCACGCAACAAGCCGCCGTCTGATTTGATGGCCGAATAAATTAGCATGTTAATATATACTTTATTTGAGGTCTAATCAAGGTGGGGCCCCGAGTGTCTCATCACACTACGGATGGATGGAATACAACAAAGTATTAGGGGTTGATTAGACTGTTGGAGGGCGATACTCGAAGAATTGGGTGAACGGCGATGGGAGTGGGAGTGGTCATCAGTCACTCACTCATGACTTTTCTACTGGTCTGGGCATTTTGTGATTAGAATCACCGTATCAGCATCGGGAGGAGATAGAGAGAGAGATGGAAGTCTGTGGATGTTTTGCTGTTTGGGGAGTGCCACCGAAACGAGCAGCAACACCGTAAACGGTACCCACTTGGCGAGAGAAGGATAGGACACGAGGCCATTTATTTATCATTGTCATTTTCATATGTGTCATTGATGAAAAAGGCCACGTGAGCAATTTCCTTAGCTCCATTTTCTTGAAGTTAACATCGTCGCCCCAAAGCACATCCCAACGTGGATTGGGATCATCTCCCAATGACAAGTACCGGATTCATATGGGAGATGCTTCCAATGAGGCTCTGATGTGATCGGAAATGACCGTTCAGCCTAGGATCAAACTTCGTAGGCCCAAAGTACAGTTGGGATAGGTGCCGGTTCGAAATTGCTACTAATTAATGGGCAAGTATGGATGCATGGAGTGTGGTTTTTTGACTTTTTGAATGTTTATAGATTTGTAAGGGAATTCTATTAGGTTTGTCGATACTTTTCCGTTTTCTTTTCCCTCACATAGTCACACGTGTGGCCTAAAGTAGTCTAATGAGGCTTTCATCATAGAAAATGATTTGAAATGTTTTTTAATGTAAAAATAAAATATTATTGAGCTTTAGTTCCAAAGGAAGAGTGAAAATACAAATATATTTAGTATAAATACAAAGTCTAGAAATATAAATAGGTTTTGCATATACATATTGCACTTTTTCCAAACTGAAAAAAATGTAAAAAAAAAAAAACATTTTAAATCAATTCAAAACTTTAAGAGAGAAGTGCTTCTCCTTTAGCACACGGTTAACTTTCTAGATCTCCTCAAGAAACAATTATTCCAAACAAGTCTTTCTTTTCCCACAACTCTTTCAATCCTGAATAACCTTCCTAATTCAGATCAAATAGTAAAAATAAGACAAGTTTATAAGCGAGTAATGTGAAATCATGACTATGTTGTAGAACATAGAATAAGTAAAAAACCAAAAAGTCATAATCATCATCATTTTAGCCTTGTCCCCAACCATATGGGGGAGGCTACATGAATATTTTTTCATCATTATGCTCTATTTAATGTCATATCCATTGTTAAATTATAAGCACAAATCATTTCTTACTACTTTGACCATGAAATAAATGAAAAAGTATTTTTCTAATTTATTTCTATAACAAATAAAAATTATTAAAAGAAGTCTACAATAATAAAAACTATTTGAAAACACTCAATTTTGTTTAGATAAAACTCTTACATTGAATAATAAGCTACAAATAGAGGTTGATATCATTTTACATATATGTGGAGGAAGTTATTTTTCAAATTATTAGATATTAAACAAAGGGAAATTCTATGATGCTAGAAAGACATGGTATTGAAGGAGTTTTGACCAATCAATACCCACCCATGAATTTTGATAAATTCCACCTAATTTGTTAACACATGCATTTATGATACTGGTTGATAAGTCACAAAATTTTCAGATATCATGTCTTTATGGTATCATAGTCAAACCCTTTAACAAATAGTTCACTACACTTGGTAGGACCATATTTATGATACTGGTGTAAATGCACAGGAGTTCCAAAAGGCTGTGTAAATTATGGTTTGGTTTTACTTCAAATTTGTCTGTCTTATTTTTTTGTGAGAAGTAAAATGAAATGACCTCCACTTTTTAAATGAAAGAGAATGGAGGTAGCTAGGAGGACGGAGCAAGGTAAGATGCCAAGTGATGTGGTTCCCCACTTTAGAATTTAGGTAGTAAGAAGATGGTACCAATTTTGCATCAATTGTTGGGATCAAAAATTTGTGCTACATGCCAGTGTATGCAAAATAATAATAATAATAATAATAAAAATAAAAATAAAAGAAAAATTGCATTGGGTACAAATTTTGCACCTAGTCAAGATTTGCATTACTACCAAAAGCAGCCTTAGGCTCAGTTTGAAAAAAGTATAAATACAAATAGATACAAAATACAATATTTTTCACTCTACATATTTATATTTGTACTCCTTCCGGACTAAGCCTTAAAGGCTAAATTTGTCCTTCCAAAAGTGTATGTTTTCACTAATTATATAATAGAGACGTGGCTGGTTTATCAGAACATGGGGTGTCCCCAAGTCACCACCCTCCCTTTATTTTTATTTTTTTTACTTGGATATAGAGTTGGGGTTATAGACAATTGGACACCCATCAAATAATCATATAAACTCGTCGAAGATATCAATGCAACAGCTAGGCATTGTCCATATATAACTCTATATAATGCATGACTTCATCTTTTGTTTAACAAAAAAAAGAAAAAAAATCATTAATAATTCATAAACATGCAAATTCGATAATGGTGTCACCTTGAGTCTCTTCCATTTCAACTCTATTTACTACACTCCAAGACCTACACCATCTTCAGCTCTAAAATCGATCATTAATTAACAAAAATGGACTATTGTAGAAAATAATAATTAAAAAAATCCACAGACGTAGAAAAATGACACACACAAGCAAGAGGTGCTGTCTCCATGAGGGGTGGCAGTTCTTGGTGGACCGGCTGTGCCAGCCCTTCCCTTTCAGGACTGATAAATCCCAGCCCGTTTTAAATATGGTTCGAATATTTTCTAGCATTTACACTCACTGAGTCGCTGTATGTCAGTATCCCGTTTTAGGTTTGGTAACTTGTCCCTTTTTATAAAGGGCCCACTGATCCTCCCATTTTTCTTTGAGTTATGGTTGGCCCATCCCGATTGATAAGGGCTTAAGCAATAAACTGGCCTGATCGATGCAGCTCATTGCCACCTCTGTAGCTTCTAACTTTTATTGGATACCACTTAATTAGTAGATCTCTTAGCTCTGTAGTCAAATGAGGTTAGCTAGTGCATTAACTTCAGTCTTTTTGTAAGAGTTGGGATTGTTGAGTTAGGAAAAGAGATGTCAGTGAGATATATAGGCAAGTGTATTTAGCTTTGATTGATATCAACAGCTATAGAAAGACAAATGTTATTGCCAAGTGGATTCTTTTGTTGCCAACGGTGATTCCATTCAACTGATGCCCAACTGGCAAGCTTCTAAGTCTATCWAAAGAGAATCTTACACTGGCAAGACAAGAAATATCCATGACAATTTCACTGGCCATCCAAGAGGATTAAAGAATTCCAAAGTTTTGGACTATTTTCCTTTCGAAGATAATTTTTTATTTCTATTTCAGTATAAACTATAAGGACGAACAAACTGATGAGAAAAATAATGATGAAAATATCGATAAAACTAGAGGGAAGAGAAAAATATTGTTTCGAAACTAAAAAATAAGAACCATCGGACCAGATATTTCCAGTGCAAAAATGAGTCATTGTCGAATGAGAAATCCATGTTATTATATATATATATATATTTTCTAAACAAAATATGCTTAATTTTTAGTTATTAGTCCCACGTCAAAAAACAACAATATTTCGTATATGATCTCAGCAGATTGAACATCTCCTATGGGAGACGTATGGTATGGAATACTGGGTCCCAGATTTAGAGGATCGGTGAGTCTCGCGTACTGTCATTCTCTACTTTTATTGGACAAAAATATATACACAAACCCAAAGATCCTCCCAATCGTATAACAGGTCTACCTAGCAATCTAACACAGCGAAATGCTACCCCACAATGAAGGGAACCACCAAGACTCACAACAGTGATGTTCTATTGTGAACCTCTCCTTGCGTGGGGTAGCCCATGTTGTACACAGACGCGTTATTAGGTTTTTCATGTATTCATGATCAATATCTCACGAGATGAAGGTTGCAATTTGGGCGAGAGAAGATGATTTTTCCACAATCCACATGCAGTGACGACTGTGTGTACTATTGAGCAAACCAGCTACAGGAGAAGGAAGAACCAAAAAATAAACAAAAAAGAAAAGGAAAGAAAAGGGAGCTAGCTTCACCAAAGCAGCCAAACAAGACCACCCAACAATTCGCCTTCCCAAACATAGCAGAGACTTTTTTCAGCTGAGCTCTCTCTCCCCCTCCTCATGGATTCCCATGTAGCTTTCATGTCTCCAACTTGGTTCGTCTAGAGATGCTCACCAGTCATCATCTCTTATTAGCTTCCATGTATATGCACCACTTCTTCTAAAGAAGCTCCTACCCACCATATATAATAAGCCATCTCTTCTTTTACGGCTCCATCGGCCGACCTGATCAGGGTCACAGGTGGAAGTGCAATGGAACAAGGGCGGTACTGGATGTGGACGAAGAGAAAACAGTGTGTGGGGTCTCATCTTCCACCGTCCACGACCTCTTTGTACAACGATTCATGGGAAGAACAAGCCTTTGCAGAAGACTCAGCTGGACATCTTGGAGGGTGCATATGGCCCCCAAGATCTTATACTTGCAGCTTCTGTAGGAGAGAATTTAGGTCTGCTCAAGCTCTAGGAGGTCACATGAACGTCCATAGGAGGGACAGAGCTAGGCTCAAACAATCTCCTCCAACTCCCCACGATGAAATTCTTTATCATCACCACCAGAATCATTACCCTAATCATCAGAACCCCTGTACATCCTTGGGTGTTCAATACCCTTCTCAGCTTTGCACTTTGGTTTACAGTCCTAACCCTAACTCTAACCCAGGTGCTATAGCATCACCTCTGTCACCTTCTAGGGTTTCGGCCCCGTCTACTCAAGAGAATTGCAGCGAACAGGCCTTGGTTTCTCCTTCTTATACTTCTCCTATCACTCAAGAACACCGAAAGAGTTCCCTTTTGTCTCCCCCATCATCGTGGTCGGACACTGTTGCTGTTAGGGTTCTTTCTCTCTCGGATGCGGCAAAGATTGATGGAGAGAAAAAACCCAAGACGCAAGAATCAGGATGCCATGTTCTGGGGGATTATGTTAAGCCAGATTTGGCTGTGAGCTTGAATTTGGTTGTCCATCGGGACCGACCATCAGAGTCGGCTGACAAAGAAGAGGAGGCTAATAGTAGGAAGAGAAGGAGAACCGATGCATCAACGTTGCCTTTCCTTCTCCAACCAAGTTCAGTTGATATACACCATATTCAATCGGAAGTAGTTGCTGTTCGCCCGGGCTCCATGGAGGACTTAGATCTTGAGCTAAGGCTCGGCGATCGGCCTAAGGTGAAGTAGAATTGCAAAACTCATGGGTTTAAATATATATATATATATATTACTTGTTCATTGTGTTCGTAATTTCTTCTTCAGTTCTTCTCCATACATACACTTGTTATTTTTTCTTTATTTCTTCATCTTCTTCTTTATCTTTCCATTTTCTTTGGTTCTCTTTGCATATGCCTTTGACCTTATGGCCAAGGTCGCTTTGCTTGCCTTACTCTTAAGTCCTTCCAAGTTTGCTGGTTGTAACAATAATAACCATATGGAAAATCACATAATAGAATGAAAAGTTCTTTTTCATCAACAAAATCTCAAGTTACCGCACCTGTTGTCTCTACATCTTAATGTATTCTATTTCGATCTATACTCAATTATCCATTTGGTAGGTTTCACAAAACCCAAAAGGTGATTCAATTTAGGAAGGTAAGAGATGAAGGTTGATGATGATCTCTATTGCCTTGTGGATATACTCTTGTAGTGCAAACATTCTGCCCTATTCCCTAAAGAAATTAAAAGTGATACTTGGGAGCTGGGAACCACATTGATGAGAGCTGGTTCATAAATCTAAGTTTAGAATTGCTGGGCCTGGGGTGAAATAGTTGGGGATAGATGCTGGAACATGTCTGATATCATCTACACTCTATACTCTCACAAGTGGAGATCAAGTTGGCAATTGCTGTGAGAAGATGGTAAGAGAGAGAAGATGGCTGGGTCAGTCTCTGCAAGAGTTCAGTAAACTGTAAACTGTAATAGTAAGGCTCAGGTTGGTGACGATATGAGCATGTGTGTGGGTTTTATGGGTGGGAAGAAACGACTGACTGAAAACTGCATGGGACAACGTGAGCTCTTTTCCACGCTCTGTAGCTCACTGACATTCTATCAGTACATCTAAAGTCTAAACAAATCCAGAGAGATGGGTTTCTAACCACGTATAAAGCCAGATACATTACAACATTGATTCCCTTTTCTTTGCTTTGTATATTGTATTTGATAATTATCATCGTCACCGAATGACCACATGCATCTTTTTTACAACACTATATATTCATTTTTATATAGCTAGTAGAAGAGACACTGGCTAGAGAGAGTATCTCCACTCTGCACTTCTCCACAAAAATCCACACGCTTCCCTACTCTTCCTCTACTTTTTACTCCTCCTCAAAGGAGAGCATCAAAAGCGCCACCAACTGCGCTGAATCCATGGATTTTAAGTATTATCCGAGACGAGACGACCCTCTTTTAATCCCAGACAGAATATTACAGAATATTATCAAAGGCGCTTTCTACGCGTCTTTTGTTTCTTCTTCTGTACTTATTATTTGTTAATACCCCTATCGACGGGGAACCCGAGACGTTCCAAAAATATATACCAGGAAGGCAGGAAAATAATACTAAATACCCTACCCAGACAAAACCCTAGCTACCCTATTCGTAGCTAGTCCTGTAGCCAGTAGCCTCCCGTTGATGTCGAAGGTTCGGTGCAGGATATAGAGCGATCATTCAGTGTTGTTTCTCTTCGATCGCGTCTTTACAAGGAAGATTGATGGTGAAGATGTAACATCGATCACGTTTGACTTTTATGGGTCTGCACTCTGCAGACCAACAAAGAGCTGTAAATGAAGGGTTATTATGTTATACCTGACAAATATTTCCATAATTAGAAGGTTGGGAGTGGGAACTGAAGATGGTTTTAATGTTGTGAGAGTTACTTTGGAAGTCGATTGATCGATCGGTTTTTGTTTCAATTCCGACGTGATATAACAAGTGTTAATAGGGGAAGATGAGATTGTTTGCTTTGGTTTCTACGAAGTGCTACATCCGTGTAAGAAGGCTTAATAGTGATTGGTTGGGTTTTGTCTTTGTTCAGGGTTACGTTGTTGAATTGGGTTGGTTTTCTCAAGTAACAGGTAGCCAGGACTGATGAGTGCAGAGACGCCTGTGTGAGGTTTTAGAGCTGTGACAGATGTGCACATGGGCATCTAATGTCGTTTCTTTGTTTCTTTAAGAGTTATGGAATTCAGTAAGGGAATGAATACTTATTCTCGCTTGTGTGCGTTTCTTTGTTTAATTCATTTTGAGATTCCAAAGTATTGATATATTAATGAAAACCCTAAACAAAATTCTAGAGTATTTGCTTTTGGATTTTTTTAATTTGATTCTTTATTAGTTTTAAAACTTTTGACAACTCAGGGTATATTTGCATGGGAATTCCTCTCTGACGAGCTCAAAAGAAAAATGAAAAATGGCTCCACACACAGTCCTCTCTCTCTCTCTCTCTCTCTTACAGAACTTACAACACACACACATGCACAATTACATTAACGAGCACCATCAGGAATGCCATAAAGCTCTGTTGTATGACCCCGATTGGTTCAATGGTTCATATATTAATGAAATTCAGAGAAGAAAGTACCACAACAAATTTGTACTGACGAATCTTGGCCTAGCTGGGTGTGATCAGGTAGTGAGTTAAGTTAAACACAATTAGCACTTTATAAGAGAGCTAGGTAAGAAACAAGGCATCTTAGGGTACTGTTTGTGGAGCTTTTATTCATGGCCTTTTTTGATACTATGGTAATATCATGAAATCACCTCAATGTGGTTTTTCTTGCTTTTAAAAAGCACAAATATATATAATATCTAAAATGCAACTGTTGCCCAGATGTTATAAAAAATTGTCCAAATGAAGTTATTAAAGATTTTCAGAAAATGGAATCATTTTCAAAATTACCCAACTGTGGTACATGATTCATTCTGCCTCTGAGTTCAATTGCTGTGTAGAAGTAGGATCTTATGATTCGCTTCCAAACAGGCTATTTGAGGAACCATTTAGGGTTTTCTCTTAAATATGGTTCTCAAAAAAAAAAAAGGATTGGTGTTTCTCTACTTTATTAGTACTTTCCTGATGAGAAATAACACAACGCCACAACGGTGAGAACGGCACTGAATGCCAAACGAACCTTGAAATAATGTAAGTGGGACAACGATTCCGAAATCAGTAGAGGAAGCAAAAGAAGAAAGTTAATGGTACTTAGGTAGGTCCTTAAAAAATATGTGCCCACGAAAGAAAGGGGGAAATATTTCTTTCTTTGACGAGTTTTCTTCCCTAACAAAATAATGCTCATGTCTCCTCAATAAAAACCAAGTTTTCTTCACCATAAAAAAAAAGATGTTCATGACATCTCTTCCTCACATCCTTAAACTTTCATTAGTCTAGATTTTTTAGCACGACGATTACAAATAAAAATTGTTCTGGTGTAATTTGCATGGGAATGCAAGTAGGATAAAGTGTAAATCTAGTTTGCTTTTTTCTTTAGATTTGACCTTGTGTTTATTTGTAAAAAGTAATATATAAAGTAAAAATGTAAGATAGTGTGGTCCCACCTTATATGGAAGAGAATGGATAGGTAGGAAGAGGGTGTTATTTGTTTGGGAGTGACGTAGGAAGCAAGTTGGTGTGGTCCCAATTTTATATGAGAAAATTGAAGATTTGAGGTAGGAGGATGGTGGTGCAAATTTTGTATCAATTTGAGATATAAAATTTACACCGCTAATGAGTGCAAATAAGACAAAAAAGGTATAAATTTTGCATCAAGCATAAGTTCAAATYGTAGTTACAAGTAAGGTTCAAAATATCGATACGCCCTATGTATCAGTAGGGGCGTATCAGTACTTAAACTASCACGCTTTTATATTCTTTTAATTTTTTAATTTGGTTTTTGGGCATATTTTTCAATCAAAAYTTTTATTAAAAAAGAATGGTTCCCGAAACCCCTTTAAAAAGGTGTATCATGAAGCCACCGATATGATATGATGCAATACTGAACCAGATGCATGGATCAGAAATGGATGCAATACGGGTGAGTTTTCACCCGTATCAAAATTTTGACCCTTTGGTACAAACAAATGGATGCAATGCTGAACCAGATGCAAAATTTGAATCTGTTTCAGATTTGCACTGCAACCAAACGCAGCCTAATGTACATTTGTCTCTATGTAATTAAAAAGGGTGGAAATAAATGTTTTCACCATTAGAAAGAGGTAGGAATATAACTGAAACCCTGTAGATTGAAAAGCTTCACATCCATGAATGGGAGAGCAAATAAATGTTTTCACCATTAGAAAGAGGCAGGAATATAACTGAAACTCTGTAGATTGAAAAGTTTCACTTCCACGAATGGGAGAGCAAATAAATGTTTTCACCAGGGCTCACTTTGCTTGCATTGTGAATTTCATTCCTATTGGTCTAAATGAATGGGAGTGCAAATAGGCTGAGCATAACATAAATTCTCATTTACTTTTGCTTTCCACTTAATTTTGTGTGTTATTTGTTTGTTAGAAGTAAAATGATGTTGTCCCTACCTTATAATGTGAAAGAGAAAGGACCTAGGAGGAGGGTTGTTTGTTTGGGAGTGGCTAGGAAGCAAATTGATCTGGTCCCCACGTCATATGCGAGAGGATTGAGGTAGGACGAATGTGGTGCCAGTTTTGCACCATTAGTTGATTTATGTAAAAATTTTGCATTGCTATTAAATGCAAATGGCACAAAATACAAATTTCATATAAGGTAGAAGTGCAAATCATCATTACAAACAAATAGATGCAAAATTTGTATATTTTTCAGATTTATACTTCTAATAAACAAAGCTTAAGGCTCAGTTTGGAAGGAGCACRAATACAACATACAAAACAATACAAGATATAAAGTTTTTCACCCTACATATTTGTATTTGTAAGGCTCAGTTTGGGAGGAGTACAAATATAAATACATACAAAATATTACAAAATACAAGGTTTTGCACTCTACATATTTGTACTTGTGCTCATAGGCTCAGTTTAGAAAGAGTACAAATGCAAATATGTACATCGTAAATATATACAAAAAATATAAAATATAAAATTTTGCACTCTACATATTTACATTTGTACTCCTTCCAATTAGCCTAAGGCTCAGTTTGAAAGGAGTACAAATACATAAAAATTAATACAAATATAAGACTTTGCTCCCTATATATTTGTATTTGTACTCGTTCCAAACAGAGCCTAAGGAACGAATTTTATGCCTTTGATCAATTATTTAAACCAATGCATTCATTCATGATTCCCTCAGTTTGTATTTGTACTCCCCACTAACGAAGTTTTTTTTTTTTTTTTTTTTTTGGAGGCAAATGATGCAGGAGCTGAAGAGTCAAAATTGGAATTTTATGAAATTTTATGTATTTCTGTATTTTATTACTAAGGTTATACTTTTATGTAACTTTTTTTTTTTTTTTTTTTTTTTTCTTGTCAATATATAAAATGTCTGTAAGAAAGTACGAAATGTTCTTCATTCATTTTCTTCTTACATTTTCTTTGACTTTCTTAAACTCTCATCAACCAAATTAAGGGAGCTTCAGTGATCTCAGGGTTGAAGTCTATTTAATTTGCTGAGAGAATTCCAGGAGAGCTTGTGTGAAGACCCAAAACAGATTTAATCCTAGGTAATATATTTAAATCTGCTATCAAATTCAGTTTTCTACATAAAGTTTTTAAAACTGAATTGGACAACGAACTGGTCACGGATCTGGTTCTTGGGTCGAATGATTTAACTGTTCAAACCAAATAATAGCCCGTTCTGACAAAAAAATTAAAAAGAAATGGCCAAATCATTGAACAGTTCGAATGGTTCAACCGCCTAAATCAATGATTTAYTGACCAAATCAACAGTTTTGACAAAATAAAGATTCTGGGGGAAAACGGACCTGACCAATTCCCGGTTTTTCCGGTCCGGACTGGTTTTGAAAACCACGCAATTGAAACTTAGGCATGCATCATTTGGTGTAAAACACTAGTGCTTCTTTTGGAAGTATTTTGAGAAAAAAAAATGCTTCCAAAGAACAAAAATACTATTTGTGCTTTCTGCTGCCCATCTCCCAAAAGCACTTTCAGTCATAATAACCAACTATGTTTATTGAAGTTTATATAAAGTTTTTGCTAAAACAAACAGTAATTAAGTTGTTGATTCTGATGCAACAACTGCACCAGGGGCGTAAGAATTACGAGGGGCCATGGCCCCACGGCTTAATGAATCCAAAATAAAGGTCGGAGACAAGACGAACAATGTTATATGAAATTGGGGTCTTGTACAACTTTTTCGTTCCAATGACTGACATCGCAAGAAACATATCCACGTAAATGATCAAAAGGTTTGTTTCGTGATCGATGATGGGCTTACTTCAAGTCAGAAAGAATATGTCGATCTGTTCAAACTCCCTTCCCCACTTGGCCTTTCAGCCCAATTTTCTTCTTGTCAACAATATCAGAAACTATTAGTACACGGGGATTAGTAACTTTCTTGTCAAGTTTTCGACTCCTCAATATATACTTTAAAGCTATGACTTATGACTTGATTTTTTTTTCTTCCTTTTCTTTTTCCTGGGGTCATATCTATAAAAACAGATATCGAATCAAACAGCATTCTTATTCGACAATGAAAGCTTAGAAACTGATGAAGACGTATGAGCCTACTACTTAATTGAGCGAAATTCAGCGGCCAACATTTGACGAGTTGGAAGATCTGGGGCCGAGCACTGTTTCTGTATAGTCAGTCCTCTATTTGTTTTTTTTTTTTTATTTATCATTGTAATGCTCTGATTCCCTCTTCGGACTACTTGCTTTGTATCGAATATTTATTTGATTAGACTGTGTAATCTTAGTGTTCAGTGCTTTATAGATTCAACAGAAAAAGTCGCTCCTGACTAGTGACTAGTTATATTATATGCTCCGTCAATCGAAAGCTTAATTGACAAAGATTCATTGGGAATAAAGAGTAGAGTTAATGCACAAATTTAAGGAATTTCAAATTATTTCAGGGTGGAAAAAAGTAACAGTGTATATTAACATGACTAGATTAGTTGACCATGGCAAACTTGTTTTCTTGGATAGAAGCGATTTCAGATCACATTCAAGGAAACAATTTTTGTTTTTGGCAAAATGGGAAGAAACTAGCACAAAATGTCATCAATTTCCATATCTTGGGGTGCCATTAATTTTCTGTAATGTCCTTGCATCTGCATAGA